CCCTGAGGAGCAGCAGGTACCAGGACTTTCACAAGTGCAGGTTAAACAGCCTCTCCCAGAGGCACTAGCTTTATTTTACAGATGGGAAAACCGAGGCTGAGCGGGTGAGCTGACTTTTCTGAGGTGACACAGCTGTGAGCAGCAGAGCCTAACAAAAGCGCACGCCGCTTAGGTAAAGCTGAGGGCCCCTGGCAGCGGCTGCAAGGCCTGGGGTGGGGTGGGCCTTTGTCCCTGCTCCTCCCCCTCCCCAGGTCCTGGAGAACTGGCTGGGGGGGTGGAGGAGTGGGCAGCTCACGTTGCAGGCCCCGCCGCACCTGTCCAGGATAAATAAAGGCATTTCCCCTCCACCCTCTGAGTCTCCCTCCTGAACACCCTCTCTGTGGGTCCTCAGGCTGAGACCCGTGGAAAGGAGGCCTTGAGGGGCTGCTGCCCCAAGGGAGCTGCTGTGGGGCCTGTGGGCAGGATGGGGTGGAGACAGAGTTATCACTCAGCTTGCAGGTGGCTGGCGGCTACCTTTTATAGGAGGAGCTGCAGCCGGCTCCTGACTCTGACAGGTGACAGGCCCCATCCAATACTTCTCTACTGGCCCCTAGTCAGAGGGGTGAAGGGGTAGGCTAGGGGGCTAGGGACTGCCACGGGAGCTCCTGTGCAAACTCAAGCCTGTTTGCCTGGCTCTGAAGCCCTGCCTGGCTGACCACTCCTCTGGATTGCAGTGCAGGTGATCTCAGGGGAGGGGTGGTGCCAGACCCTGCTGAGAATGGGCAGCCCTGCCTCTGCGAATCCTCTCTCTGCAATGTGCTGCTAGTTGCCAGGCACCTACTGCCCCTGTGAGAAGTGAACCACGGCTGGAGTGGGAGTAGGGTCTCTGGTCCTGCATCCCTTTGGGAGAGAAATTCCTGGTATCACAGGGCCTGGAGAAGCCACAGCCCTGGTTGTGGGGTCAGGGCTCAGGGTCTCAGGCCTGGCCTGCAACATGGAGCCTGGGACGCCACAGTCTGCCCACTCTAGGCTATCAGCGGCCACCAGAGCAGTTCACCAAGAGACTTCAAGCCCTGGGGAGTCCCCAGTGCCCAGCTTGCTCCATGGTTGCAGTGATTGGGGTGCGTCCCTGTAGGAAGCAAAGAGGCCATGTGCCCATTCCCTGATGCCTTGCCTGAGCTACAGGTTCTATTTTTAAAAATCCCCCTAGTCATTGGCTCCAGTACTTCCCAGTATACCCCCTCCGTCCAGTGAGGACACTCTTCCTGCTATCTAGCTTAAGGTCTCTGTGCTTCAATTAAGCCCTGGGCTGGCCAGGCCGGGTGGCACATAGGTCCTGGGTGAGGTCATTGGCTATCCTGGGTGTCAGGATAATTTCCACCCACAGGAATGGGACAGGGAGCACCAGAGGGAGGCCTTGAGGATTGTGGAGCGGGGGCAGAGCTGGGCTCAGTACCGGGTGTGGGTGGCCAGTGGACCTGTGAGAGTGAGAGTGGACAGCCACCTCACATAGAACTGCAACCAGGGGGGTGGGGAGTGTGCAGGGTCCTGGGAGTTTCCACTTGGGCTCAGATGCCCGTGTGTCATCATATAATGAGGTAGGGTGTGCAAGTCTCTGCCCTTTTAGTACAGCAGCCTGTGATCCCCAGGCCCGTGGGTCTGGAGGGTGCAGGCTCAGGTTGGAGTGGCCAGCTCTCCAGGAAGACAGAGGGCTGCAGCCTCCTCTCTGCGCTGGAGCCAGGCCAGCACCCCATCTAGAGAAATGCAGCCTCTATGGCTGTTACCATAGCACCCCAGTGGGGCTTCTCCTTGGGGTCCCTCCAAGTGCCCACATCAGGTTCCACAGCCAGGACTGCACCTCCAGTGTGGGTACTGGCTTCCTGCCACCTCTGCCAAGCAACTTTCAGGCCTTTTCTGGATATTCACCTCAGTGCTTCCCTGCCCCCGTCCAGCCCCCGGGCAAGTCTCTGCTATCCAGAGAAAAAACGATCTTCTCCGGGCAGCAACCAAGATGTTCCTGCCCTCCAGTGACACCCTCCAGTGACAGCCTGGGCCTCAGCCTGCCCCTCGAGCGCACAGCAGCACTGCCGGGGCTGCCTCAGCCTTGGCCTGTCAGGCAGGGCTGGCTTATGCTCTCACACACCTCGCAGTCCCCCGGGCCTCGGCCCTTCAGCCCCAGCTCTGCCCGATTTGTCAGATAGTCCCTTTACTTGACAAATGCTGCCTGAGCACCTACCGTGTTCTAGGCCCTGGTGTGGGTTCCAGGCCATGGCAGTGGTTAAAACAAAGTTCTCTCAGCAGATCTAGCGTCTCTGCCCTCTGGGTTTCAGTGTCCCCAGCAGTCAGTAGTGTTACTCAGTCTCCGGTATTCTGTGACATCCCATCGGACAGTGCTGCTCCCTGGTCGCAGACACCGCAGGGCATGGTCATTTTCCCAGGCAAGCATGGGAATAAGCTGTGAGCCTGGCAGGTAAAGCAGCCCCGGTGAATTGGCTGGGGCTCAGGCAAGTGAGGGAGGAATGCCCAGCAGCATGAAGCCAGCCAGTGTAAGGTCCCTGGCAGGCCCAGGAAGGCAGGAGAAGGGACTATTATCTTGGATCTGGGACGGAGCAGGTGCTGGAGTCCAGTAACGGGCCGAATCCAGCTCCGAGCCCTGACAGCCCATGTCGGCAGTCGGTCCATCTACCTATCCACCCTCCTGTTACCTGCCCTCTCAGTGCTAGGAGTGCTCTCTCCCCAAAACAGTTGCCTGCTTCCAAGGAGATCCTCCAGGCTTGGGGACACCCTGAGCCCACTGTGCCGAGGAAGGGCTGAGAAAGCTCTACACTCTGTTCCCTTGCCACCAGCCCTGAAAACTTGACATTTCCTTCTCAACTTTAAACACCCACCACTTCCAATGACATTTCACATTTCACAGGCCAGCCAGTTCGGGTGGGCAAACAGCTATGGCCGAGACCAGGGGCCTGTGGCCGGCAACAACCAGTTGGGTCCAATCCCAGCCTCCAAATGGGGATGGGGTGTGCTCTGCTTTTCAAGAGCCTTGAGGAAACAGACAGATGGACATACACACCCTCGTCTGACATGCAAACCCCTATGGCACCAGGCCACAGGCATTGCACTCACCCGGGAGATAGTGAGGGGCATGTTGAAGTCCTTGCCCCCCTGCAGACGGAAGCCCCAGGGCCCAGGCCCAGTCAGGGTCACGCTGTAAGACATGCTGGTGCTGACAGGGGCGGCCTCTGTGGACAAGAAGAGAGGAGTGGAGTGAGAGGGCCCTCACACACCCTGTGTCCCCAGCCCAGGCCTCTGCCTCTGCCCCCGGCCCCCAGCCTTGCCTGCTCTGTCCCTTGCTGTCGGCCGGGCTGTGTGGCACTCCTGAGAGGCTCCTAAGAATAGCTGGGAACAAATGCCATCGACACTGATATCTGCCCTCTGCTTCGCCCATAAATGGACTGTAACCCTACACTGTGCCCGCCCGCCCAGGCCTCCCAGGCGGTCCACTGTGACTCACACAGCTAATATAGCCCCTGGGGAGGGGTGTCCAGCACCCAGCACCCCCGGGGCAGGACTGGGGACTGGCCGGGTCAGTGATAATGCTCTGGCCCTCCTGCTCTCCTCTCCTTGCTCCCTCTGCCCTCTGAAGAGCCAGGATGCACACTCACTCCCCAGCTACACCCACCCCCTTGCCCAGAAGACCATAGCTGAGCTCCCTTGGGCAGGGACTTTGGGACTTGGGTTATTGCTGCCCTTAAGGAAATGTACCTTATCCAGTGTGGAGCCCTAATGGTCCTTAGGAACAAGCTGAGCTTCCAGCTGGCCTGGACAGAGCTTCAACTCAGGAGACCAGTAGCTGGCCCAAGATTGTGCAGCCGTGAAAATGATCATCATGCTCTGGCTGGCGTGGCTCAGTGGTTAGGGGTCAGCCCACACAGCAAAGGGCGGAGGGTTCTCTTCCCCGTCAAGGACATGTGCCTCAGTTGCAGGTTCAATCACTGGCCCCATCAGGGCCCATTCAGGAGGCAGCTGATCAATGTGTGTCTCTCATATCAATGTGTGTCTCTCTTTCCCTCTTTCTCCCTCGCCCCCTTCCACTTTCTCTAAAAAAAATCAATGGAAAAAATACCGTTCGCTGAGGATCAACAACAACAAAAAGGATCATCATAATAGCAGCAGCTCTGGGCACGGCTGAGCCCAGCTCCAGGCCCCTCACGACATCATCCCCCAGATGGTGAGAGGCTGCCGCCTCAGCAGGTACCAAGGTTCCGAGAGGTTAAGTGACTTTCCCAAGGTCACACAGGGAGTGGACTCAGGCCACATTGGAACCTGGGCTAATTCCCACGAGACTCATGCCAGATAATGGCTCCCAGTGGCCACAGGTGCCTCCCAATGCCCAGACTCAGGGTCTGAAAGCCGGTCTGGGCCAGGCTCACACCCTGCAGACCCTCTGGGGGCCCAGGGTCTATTCCTGGCTCTCCTGGCTCATCTGTGCTCTGGAAAACCTGACAGCAGTATGGAAAACTCCAGCTGCCAGCCAGCCCGCCAGGCTCCTGTGCCCTTTGCGCTGGAATGGCAGGGGGCAGGGAGGAGGAGAGAAGATGCCATTTGCTCAGCTGCTGGGACATGGGGACAGAGGAACAGGGAGGGGCAGTGTGCTCAGTGTGTTCAGCCCAAAACCCTGAAACAGCGTGTTCTGGGAGGGGGCCCAGGACCCTCAGGACTCCTGCCAGTATGGTCTTGGGCCAGGATACCTTCAGAAGCCTTACCCCAGAAGAGACCTCAGGCCCTGGGTTGTCTGGAGATAGACAAAGCTCAGCCTGGCTCCTGGCTCCTGGCTCCTGGCTCCTGGCTCCTGGCTCCTGGCTCCTGGCTCCTGGCTCCTGGCTCCTGGCTCCTGGTTGGGGAAACTGAGGCTTGGGGAAGGCAACTGGGTTAGCTGCTCTCTGGCCCTCCCATGGGGCTCTGACCTGAGCTGGGCCCAGAGGACTAAGTGCAGACCTGGGTGTGAGTAATTTCCCAGCGGTCAGCAATCCTGCCTCATGCCTTGGGCCTGATACATACAACGTGCAGGGTAAAAGTAGTCCCTACATCACAGAAGCGTTTGGTAACTTGCCTAAGATCGCAAAACTGTCAAGTGGAAGAAGTCAAGGAGGGACCCTTGTTCTTTTCTTCACATTACCCCCTCCTCTGTCCTGTGTCATGTAGCACAGCCTAGCCTCCCTGCTGGGGCCTGGCCCAGGAGGCCAGCATCTCGTAACACCCCATCCCTCCTCCATACCATTCCCTGCCTTCCCCCAGGCCCCATCCCATCCATCCCCAACTCCAGCCCTATCGATACCTGTTCTTCCAAGCTGGAAAGGATCCAGCAGCGTGAACAGTGTGAACGAGGAAGGAAGGGGAGGAGAGGAGCCCCAGGCTAGGCTGTACCTGGAGACGCAGGCTCTTTCTCTGGACCTGGGCACCTGCCTGATGCTTGATGCTGTCTCAGGGAAAGGGGGGGGGTGTAGGAAAGATGCGCTTAAAGGTGAAGGCCAGCCACCCCCCATCTGCCTCCCCTGGGAGACCTAAGAGCCAGCGAGCAGCTGGTGCCCACAGGCTGGGTGGGAGCTGCTTCTGGTAACAGCAGCTCACTGGGTAGTGGGATGAGGGCAAGCCTGGTCTTTGTCCCTCCTCCACTCTGCCCCCCACAGTTTGAGATGGGAGCTTCAGGAAAGAGAGTCACAAGGTGGGGAAGAGAGGAAAGGGAGGAAGAGAAACTGCTGTGGGCATCAGAGGGCAGGCCTGCAGTTTCTCTCCTGCTGCGGCATCCACAGAGAGAGACCAAGCTTGTCTGAGACCTTCTTGCTTTTTATTTTCTGATACCCTGTCTGAGCCACACAGCTCTGGGAAAAAGTTAGACCACTGATTTGAAAGAAATCACAGGCACAGTGTGTGTACAACTGTGCTTAGTGTGCATGCAAATATATACATGCGGAGCATGCCTGCCAATGAGTGTGCACACAGAAGAGGGGAGCCCAGTGGACAGTGCACCGTGGGGAGAAGGCAGGGGTGAGTGAGTTTCCAGCATGGAGGTCTGTGCTCGGTTGTGACTGGCGGGGGGGGGTGCGCAGTGCTGGCTTTCTCCTGCCTGTGACATGCCCAGCCCAAGGCGAGTTGGCTCACAGAGGGCTGGTGTGCCCCCTGGAGCCCTCGCCATTGTTGTCACTGGGACAGTCACAGCACACAGCACTGGAGGAGAGGAGGGGGCCTAATCTGGGAGCAGGCGGACCTGGGCTCAGCTCCTCAAGCTGAGCCTGGGCTGCTGCGTAGCAAGAGTTTTGTGTTTTAGGATGTGAATCCAGGACACTGTGGGTGACAGAGCCACTCCAAAGCCCACAGGTTCATGGGGTAATCCTGGGTCTGTGTATGCTAGGAGCCACAGGGGGGCTGGATGTGTCCCAGAAGAAAAGGAGAGCCAACTGTGCCCTACATCCTGGCGTCCAGGCTAGGGAGCAGCCCCTTGGTCTGAAAAACAAACAGCACACATCTGTTTAGTTCCAGAAATGTCCCCATAGGAGCAGTCTCCTGGTGGCCCCCGCAGTGAGGGGGGGTGCATGGAGGAGTCTCCCAGTGGCCCCCGCAGTGAGGGGGGTGCATGAAGGGCCCAGCTGTGTCCTGGGTTGGGAATGGCCCTTCTCTGACACTGCGGGCAATGTGGCCTGAGAGACAGACAGAGCATCTAAGGCTGCCTGCAAGATGTCCCCCAGGCTTTTGGGCTCCTGGGGTCTCTTCACTCCACTGTCCATTTCTCCACTTCCCTCCATCCCTCTTCCACATGCCTGTGCTGTGGCATCTTCTGTCCCCTGCTGCCTTCAACACCTCATTTCTTGCCTGTCCTACAGCATCGGCTTCCTCTGGTCTTCTGCCTGCAGCTCACTGCATTCAACCTGTCCTTCCCCAGCCACGGCAGAGGGGCCCGGCTACGCTGCACAGTCCTCCAAAGGCTCCCTCCCCCAGCACCATGCCCAGAGACCCCTCTGGCCAGCACTTGAATGGCCAGCACTTAAGTGGGACTTCCCAAGGCTCCTACCACCTCCTGCCCCTCTCCTTTCTCCCACATCCCCACCACCAGCTCCCAGGGTCCCTTTGGCTGCTTTGGAGGTCACAGAGCAATATTCTGTTCCAGGACACTGAGTTTTCCTGGGCCCCTCTGCATCTCACGGGTTGTTCCTCAGCCTAGACCCACCCCCACTCTGCCTGGCAATCCCCACTCCACCCCCTCTTTCCATGGGGAGCCCTGGGGGACTTGCCTCTGCCTTCAGCACCCTATGTACTGACACCTCAATGGCAGTCTTATCAGGATAGCTGACTGTTGATGAGCCATCCCTCTCGGCCCAGCATCCTCCCCCAGCCCAGTGTGCCCCCCAGGACAGGCTTTGCGCTTTTTTTCGTTGCCCCACCAGCCTTGGGAGCACAGCCATGCCTCTGTTCTGGCCTCTGTGGTCGTGCACAGTGCCCGGCTCAGGGCTGGGGAGTGAGTCCTCCTGGGGCTGGAGCATCGGGGAGCGGTGCTCCCTGAGACACCGAAGCTGGAGGAGGCAGAGGCTCCAAGTGTAGGGAGCAGCCCAGGACTCGCCCTTTCTGGGACATGCAAGGGAGCAGCCTTGGAGAAGGAAGACAGAAAAGTGCCTGTGGTCTTGGCCTTGCTAGGGAAGCCCAAGAGAGCCCAGGAGCTGGGGGTGTTATATCTGTGGGGGTTGCTGTCAGTGAGGGGAGGGGCAGCCTCAGGGCCTGTGCGTGGCATTTCCCATGTTCCAGAACAAGGCCTTCTCTAATCGCCATCGACACTCCGCCCCAGAGGCACTTGGGCTGACAGCTGGCTTTCTTTAAATAGCCACAAGTGTTCTGGGTGGCGTCCTAATCTCAGGGCATTTGTAGTGAGCACATCCACTGCTCGCAGCACCCCACCCAGGTATGTGCAGCCTCCAGTCACACAGAGGTGCACACTACCACACTTGGTCACACGCACAGCTTAGAGCAGACACCTTAGGGAACACTCAGCTCCACTCCCTGTGGTGTCACAGTGACAGAGAGCACGTGCCTAGCACATGGTCACGCATACTAGTGCACATGCATATGTCACAGCACGGCCACACCACCTCCTACCTAGTGCAGTGGGTCACAGTCACACAGACATTCTCAGGTCGTCTCAGACCACACTCAGGCTGCTCTGAGCATCTGGCAGTCAGACCCAGGGCCCTCCTGGTGGGCAAGGAAAAGCCAAGGAGGGATGGAGACGGGGTGATTCTCAGAGGGCATTGGGCCTGCCCATGAGAACAAGCCCCCCTTTCCTGGCCACTCTCTGGGCTCTTTGCCCAAAGACTCCAATCACCTTCCTGGGATCCTCTGCTTCATGTCCCTGGGGCTTGGGTGGGACCTTGGCTTCCACATCCTCCAGGCCCTGACTGCAGGGGGACCGGCCACTCGCTTGCTGGGCAGCCCCCCATGTAGCTGCTGCCTCCATGTCTGTCCAGCCCTGGGAGGGTGGGAGAGTCACTATGAGGTGAGAACAAGACAGTGTGCAGTCTCCCACCAGGCCATTCTCCATCTTCCCCACAATATTCACTTGGGTGAGGCCCACGGCACTGTTTGTAGGGTTGCTGAGTGGGCATGCCAGGGTGTGTGTGTGTGTGTGCGCGAGCGTGCCTGGGTGTGTGCGCGCATGCACATGCACACCTTCTAAAGCATGTGGGATGGTGTATCTTCATGAGGGTCTAGACCTCTGAACAAATGAGATTCACTCCTTGACGTCTTTCACTGCAGTGGATCCTGGAAGGGACCTCTGACAGCTCCTCCCTCAGCCCCTCACTGAGACTCTGGGGGCGGGGTCAGGAGGAGGGGGTGAGTGGGGGCTACTGGTGAGGCCCATACTGGACCCTGTAGGCACAACATGGAGGAGCCCACGTGTGGCTGGAGACAGAAGCCCACGGTGCAGGGAGCTCTCTGGGGACATCAGGGAGCATCACAGCTCCAGGTCCAAGGAGGGGCTGGCAGGCTGCCAGCTGCCAGCACTGACAACAGCTATGGGGTCTGTGTCCACAGTCTTGCATGTAGAGGCGACTGTTTCAGAGGAGGACACAGAGGGCCAGAGAGGGTGACCCATGCTCACACAGTCGAACATGATAGAGCTGAGGCTTGAATCCAGGGCCAGTGCTCCTTCCTCTCTACCCTGTGGGCTCTTCAGGCTCCTAGGAAGATGGGGCTTAATGCTGAGAACAGGGGCCCCTGAGCTAGCTCCTGTCGCTCTCTCTCTGGAGGCTCATCTGGGACCAGGATTGCTAGTCTTTTCGATCTGTGCCTCTAAGGGATGGCCTGGAGTTGGAAGACCCATGTTCTGTCCTGGCCTTGCTGCTGGGTGACCTTGGGCCAGCCAGTTGCCTCTCTGGCCCCAGTGCCCCTACCTATCTGGCAGGATGATGCATGAAAAGGCTGTGGAGGAGGTTGAGAGGGGCTCTTCCTGTCAGCCTCCCAGGGTCCTGAGGTTTTTGAATCTCAGAGGCAGCCCTGCCCAGAGGCCTGAGGCTGCCTGGTTGAGGAAGGGATGGCCAATCATTGACGGCCCAGCATCCTTACCATCTCACTTTCAGAGCCCAGAGACGCCTGGCGCTTCCGTCTAGAGATCCAGCTGAGATCCGAGGCCTGGCTGCTCAGTGTGGAGCGGTGGGTTGAACGGTAGCTGGTGTACGAGCCAGCACGCTGCCCTGATATACCCAGCAGCACGCCTAAGCAGGGCAGGTGCTGGGCTATGGCCATTCTGCAAGGATGGCACATCTGGTTAAGGCAGAAGGGATGGACAGACAGACACAAGTAGATGGGGATGGATGGACAAACTGATACAAGGCCAATGGGAGTGGGCAGAGAACCACTGGGGAAATGGGGAGGTTCAGACATTGGGCCTATAAGGACAGACAGAGAGATATTGAGGTAATGGGAATGGACAGGAAGAAACGAAGTCATGAAAAGTGATGATGAAGGACAGACAGATGCTGAGTTGAAGGAGACCGACAGATTCACAGGATTAGGGATGGACAGACAGATGCTGGGGCCATGGGCATGGAGGAAGAGCCTTAGGGTAGCAGACTCAGCCAGGTGCTTAGTTCCAGCCCTCAAGTGGCTGGCTTCAGCCACATCTCTGGGAATGGGACCTCTGAGCTGAGGAGGCTAAAGCCTGCTGCTGGCCCCAGCAGGGTGGTGAGTTACTGACACCACCAGGCAAAAGGAAGCACTGAAGGCCCCCTTGTAGAAGAAGCCAGCATACTGGGATTCTATCAGCAGAGAGAGCTCTGGGCCAGACCACCCCCAGTACCCTGCCCTCCCTGCTGTGGTCTCTCCAGGATATTGCTGCCTGGGGACTTCTCCCTCTAGGGGCAGTGCTGCTGATCAGCAGTCCTGGCCTCTGGCCTTGGCTCCAAAAAGGATTGGACACTGCCCAGGGAGCCCTGATGTCCCTCCAAGCTGAGCCTCCTGGGAAGGTAGAGCAGCAGAAGGGTCACTTCGGCTCTAGACCCCACCCACTGTCACCGGCTGGTCCCAGCTGCTAGAGGCCCCCACCCAATGCATACACAAGAGACAGGAAAGACGGTAACCTCTGCCCCATTGTCAGGCCCAGGCCCTCCATGCCCACGAGAGTGGCCTGGGGCCCTGAGGCTGGGGTCTGGAGCAGGGCTGCACCTGTACTTGGGGTGGGTGATGGCGTAAATGATGGGGTTGTGGACAGCAGAGGCTTTGGCAATGACGGCCGGCACGGAGTTCATGTAGGGTGTCAGGACGTGTGCATACCTAGGACAGAGAAGCTGTGGTCACCCTGCCAGCTGGTGCCCCCAGAGACTCCACAGCCCACTTGCCCCCTTTGGGACTCTCCTTCCTTTAGGCCAGGCCCTGCCAGGGGCACAGCCCAGCCTGGCCCAAACCAGCTGGTCCAAGTCAGTCCCATGGGAGGGACTGCAATGCCAGGGGGAATTCTGATCTGAGGTGAGTGGGAACCCGGAGAGCAGTTGAGAAGGGGTCTAGGAGGCAGATGGGCCAGGTTGGGGGGGTTCACTGTCCGTTGGAGCCTGTGCTGCAAGCAATAAACCTTCTTTACCCTCAAAGACCCGGGTACTCTGCTCAGCTCTTCCCACAGCTGCCCTGGCTCTGAGAGTGACTTCACAGGAGGCCCCAGAGGAAATCATTTCTGGGCAAGAAGAAGACCTCACACCAAACACTGCCAAGGCTTGGTAGCTCTCTCTGCCTCAAAAGTGCTTCTGAAGTCTGGCTGCATCCATGCTGCTGCCAAAGTCAAAGTCCCCAGACTCTCACCATGAAGGGCAGGAGGTGACCGGACTCCCTCTGGCTGTGCGCCCAGGTGAAGAGGGAGCTGGGACCTCAGAGAGAGCCGTGTATTCCCAAAAGGTCTAGCGGGACCGTAGCCCTCACAGGAACTCAGGCCAATCCGGGGTGGCCTGGCGCTCCTCAGCATGTGTCCCAGTGCTTCCAAGAAACAGGCAGGCAGCCAGGCAGGGGCAGAGGCGGCTGTGAGGCCGGGCTCAGAGGGAAGGCACAGCTGGCGGAGGCGGCGGCCAGGGCGGCGGAGGCGGCCCCTGAGCCCCCTGAGCCCGCCCCACCCCTTCACGCCCCAAGCCCCTCGGCATTGCTCACCCAGCAAAGGCCATCAGGGCCACCGTGGAGTAGGGGGCCCAGGAGAGCACGAAGAGAAGGATGACCAGCAGCACGATCTTGGCCATTTTCCACTCACTCTGCAGCCGCTGCCGCTGCCGGGGTAATTCGCTGCGGCCCTCACAGGCTCCGAAAGTCTGGAGAGCCCTAGGAAGGGTGCAGATCTGGGTCTGACCCTGTTGGATTGCAGCGGGCGCCAGGGTCATGGCCAGTGCAGGTAGCCCTAACACCTGGAAAGTTCTCCATCACACCCAGCTAAGCTGCCTCCTTGAGTTCTGCCTGGGGTGTCTCCTCCGCCCCCCAGACCCACTGACACTCCTTGAAGCCCCCCTTGAGAAGAGCCCGTCTCCTGAGACTTCTCTGGGCACCTACCCCGTAAGCACAGGTGCCCATCTGAAGCTGGGGGTGCCCCAGGGATGGGTGCAGGCATCAGCCTCTGGCAAGGGGCCCCTCCCGTCTAGCCCCTCCTCCTCGCCCAGCTCTTACTGGCCTGTCTCCCGAATGGCTCTGAAGATGAAGACGTAGCAGTAGATGATGACAAGCAGGGGCAGGAAGAACACAAAGCAGAAGAGCAGCATGGTGTAGGCTCGGACCGACGGCGTGAAGCTCATGTAGTCCCAGGAGCAGGAGGTCAGCAGCCCCTCGGGCACGTAGGCACCTGGAGGTCAGAGGCAGGCAGCTTCTCAGCGGTGGGGGCAGTGCTGCCTGGGCAACTCATCGAGCAGGGGCTTTGGATGTGGGCCTGGAGTCCCAGATCCCTGGCCACAGCCACAGCAGCCCGTGTGATGAGGAAGCCGGCACATGCAGGGGAGCTTCCCAAGCCTATTCTGGGAGACAGCTGGTAAAGCCCACTGCCGCCCATTCCTGCCAGTGTGGAGCAGAGCCCTCACCAGGGCCCCAGGGTACACTCCCTCGGGCTTCAGCCAGCTTTCTGGCTCTGCCCCAGAAGGGCCGGTGCCTTTACTGCTAGCCCTCCTGCCTGCCAGACCTCGCACCTCACCCCCTGCCTGTCTGACTCACTGCAAACTCAGCACCAGGTGTACCTGTCACCTCCTATCACCCGGGAGCCACGTGGTCTTCCCCTCTGTGCTGAGGGATGGGAGCCCAGGTCATCCTCTGATAGCTGAAGATGCAGCCTCAGTTTTCCCTGCTGTTAGTCATGCCCCTGAATGTCCATTTGCCTTGAGGCTCAGGCAGTTCCCTGGCTCCTTCCTGCCAGCTGGCCAACCCAACTCTACCCACCTGCCATGGAATATGCCCCTCCCAGGTTATCTTCCTCTCGCCCAATTCCCATAGCCCACTTACTCCAGCCAAAGAAGGGTGGGAGACTCCAGGCCAGGGCGTAGAGCCAGACGCCCAGCAGGACAAGCGCCGCCCGCCTCTTGGACACCACCCCAATGGTGGTCAGTGGGCGCGTGATCACCAGGTATCGGTCCAGGGCGATGGCCGTCAGGGTAATCATGGAGGTGATGCCAAAGAGAGCCCCACAGAAGGCATAGAACTCACAGCCTGTGGACACAGCTTCCTGACCTCAGTCCATCAGAACCCCAGGGGAGGAAGCCCATCAGAACTCCAGGGGAGATTAGGGTCTGGGGACAGCATCTGCTTGGCTCCTTCCCTCACCTCTCAAGCAATGCAGCTGAACCCCTCTCCACCTGCCTACTTGCTGCAGCTGGCAGAGGCTGGTGGAGGCCTCAGGACTTGAACCTGAGTCTGCCATGTTGCTAACTCATGGGATGAAGGCAGCAACCCACTCTCTGCCAAGGAAGAGAAGATCACCTCCTCTCCTGGGCCACCCTGCACAGTGGGAACCCCACCACAAACTTCCTCCCCCGCCAGCAAAAGGAGCCCGAATGTCTACCTGCCTCCCCAAAGAGCCACCGCTTATAGATGCTGCTGGCGAAGACGACCGGGGCCTGGGTGAAGGACATGAGGAAGTCGCTGATGGCAAGGTTGATAATGAACATGTTGGCTGGTGTCCTGAGGCCTCTGCTCCTGTGAGGGGTCAGAAACTGTCAGAAGGTGCTTCTGCTGGGTAGCTTCCTTCCACTACTGGTTCACACATGCACACGCACATGCACACACACACATGTGCACTCACACACATGTACACTCACACAGACACCAGCCTCTGGGCCACCCTACTGCCCAGCAAGTATCAGCCAAACAGCACTGGTGCCCGGCAGTGCGGGCTGGGAAGACAGACCCTGTCCTCTGAGGGCTCACTCAGCAAGGAGCGGAGCCAAGGAGCGCCTCTCCCGGAGCGGCTGCTCAGCCAGCAGAAGTTGGTGTGTGGTGTCATCCACTATTGCTCACCCTCTGCACTTCCTGTGCATGACCCCCAAGCTCTCCTTGCACACACTCCGCACCTCTCTGAGCCCTCCAGGCCAAGTTCTCCGAGTGTCTCCCACAAGACTCCACTTCCCGCGTGCCCAAACTGGGCCTCTTCCTCAGGCACCCGCCTCAACCCCCTTCTTCCTGCCTCAGGGTCTGGGCCCTGCTCAGCGTGACTGTGTCTGCGTTCCACACCCTCGGGTGGCCAAGGGCAATGGCGTTGATGCCTTGCTCCATAGGCAGGTCCTTTCACAGACCTTGTCTCCCCACCCCCATTTTCCAGGTGAGAACACTGAGGCTCCCACTTGTGATGTGGTTCACTCCAGGTCACAAAAATCAGTCAGCAAGTGGCACAGCCAGGATTCCAACAGACTTGCTGGGCCCCGCACATACACAAACTTAATCATTACATTGGCTCTGTGGAGAAAAGCACAACTCCATTTTGCAGACAAGATATGTGGGCTTACAGAGGAGAAATGACTTGCCCCCAGTCATTTTAGCTAAGCAGTCATAGGGCTTGGGCTTCCCTTCTCTACCTGTCTGGCTCAGCCATTCAGCCTGCAAATAGGGCAGGTGTGGAAGGAAGGGCCCTGGTGCCAGAGCTGCTCTTTGAGGCAGAAAGAGGATGCCCACTGGGGAAAGTGATGGTGGAGGTGAGCTGACAGCAGGGCAGAATGGGCAGGGACCGAGTGTCCTAGGGACAATCACCCTATGCAGAGAGTGTGCCTGGGGCCCAATTGGCCAGTGCCACTTGAACTGCCTGGACTACTTTGGGGCCCCTTTCCTGAGCTTAAAGATTGAGGCCTGGGCCTGAGACGATTGAGGGTTTAGCCCTGGCCTCACTGCCCAGGTTCAACAGTGCCCTGCAGAGTTAGCACAGCAGTGTTGTCTTGTGGTCTGCCCCCTTTCTGCATGGCTGCTACCCTCCGCCCAGGCCCCAGCCTCACCAACCAGGCACCTGCAGAAGGTATAGATGACTGTCAGATTGCCCAGCATCCCCGTGAGGCCCACCAGCAGGATCACTGTGCCCAGAGTGTAGTGGGCATAGTCCGGAACATTGACGGTGGGGAAGGAGACCCAGGCAGCAGCCTGAGCCCCAGCTGCCTGTGGAAAGAGAGAAACTAGGGCATCAAGTTATCCTGTCACCTTCAAATAGCCCTGAGAGAAAGGATTAGGGTTCCCAGAAGGGCAGAGAGGGAAACTGAAGCTCACAGTGCTAGAGTCCTTCACCCACACAGCTAGCAAGTAGCTGAGCTGAAAGGGAATGCAGGTCTCCCTAAGGTCGAGCCCAAGCTCCTATACCAGTGCACAGAGGCATAAAGCTTTCAGGAGCTGGCTCAGATCACCTGGGGGAGGCTGGAAAGACAGACTGACACATGCCTCGCAAATGGGGCATGGCTAGGATGACTCTACCTTTCCTTGGGGAGAAGGCAGAGCCAACTCTTGGGTGGTTTCTCTCCTCTATATGGGACCTGTTCCAAGTGCTCAAGACAGTCAGCGATGGTGGAGTGGGGCAGAGCCCCTCTCCTCTGGAATGCCACCCTCTCCTAAGCCTCAGAGAAAAGGCTGTGTTCCCCCAGAGCACAACTGGGTAAGACGGACAAGACGGAGGGGAAGACTTTCCCTTTAGAAAGAAAGCTTAGGCCTCCCAGGGTCACTGCAGGTAGATCATGACACTATGAGGCCAGTACAGATATTTAAAGACACATTCCTTCCTTCCGGGACAGGGTTAGTCCCTACCCTGCCCCGGCCCCTATACCACAAGAGCCATCCCATCCTGCCCAGGACCCAGGTCAGCATCCCAGGAACCTGAGCCCCCCCAGTTAAGGTGGGGTTGGTGGGTATGGCCCTGGGGCTAGAATGATGGAGGCAGCAGAGCACACCTAACTCCTCATTCCAGGCTGGACAAATCCTGAAGCCCAGAGTGTGCCTGCTTCTCTGGAAGGCTCCATGGGGCGTCCAGCCATCTTCAGGAAGGAGGGGAAGCCGCCAAGGGCAGGCCTGGGACCTTCCAGCCCTTGTCCTTCAGGCTTAGCCTTTCTATCCCTCAGACGCTCTCCTGGAGGAAAATTGTTGCCACAGCCTCCTCTGGAGGCCTCTCCGTGTAGGGCAGGCTCAGAGGTGTTCAGCAACATGCCCAAGGTCTCACAGCAAGGCACAGGCCTCTTCGATCTCCCTATCTAAGCCCCTGAGTGTCCCCAGGAGGGGATCAGATTAGAGGAGGGAAGGCTGTGCGCCTACAGGCGCTCACCCCAGGCTTACCGTGGGACTGAGGGGCAGAGGTGGGTCCGGGCTGGAGGTGCTGCTCCCAGAGCTGTCCCACCTGCTGGATGAGACTGGGGTGCCCATGCAGCCAGGTTCCTGGGTGGGGTCCAGTGGTGCTCTTGGCCCTGAAGGAGGGTTCATCCTGAGGTGAGACAGTCTTTTCTTGAGCCCACAGAGAAGTCAAGAGCATGGGGCGCTCAGGATGTTAGCTGTGCCCAGCCTCCCAGTGTTTCCCCCAGCAACCCTGCCCAGTCTGCCAGCCACCCGCTTCTGCAACCAGCGTGGACCCAGCTCAGGGCTGGCAGTGGCTGTGTCCAGCGAAGCGCAAAGGAGAAGAGAGTGTCACAGTTATAATGACGCACAGTCACAGGGTCTGTCCCCCCTTTAAGTAGCAGAGCTGGGAGTGCACATGCGCAGTTGCTGGGCAAAAAATGCCCCTCAGACGCGGGTCCCTGACGATGACAAGTGCGTGTGTGTCAGTGTCACTGTGTGTAAATGTGTGTGAGCGTGTGTGTGTGTGTGCATGTGTCAACGTGTCCATGCGTGTCCGCGCATGTCCGTGCATGCGTGTGCGTGTGCGTGTGCATGTGCTTCAGGGCAGATTGCCAGGCGCAGGCTCCTGGGCATTGGGCAGAGCCTTCGTCATCCCCTCTGGCCAGCCTCCTTTCTTCCCAGAGTTCATGGAGAAGAGCCTTTGGCCCTGGTGGCTGGCTCAGGGGTTGACGCGTCGGCCCAAGGACTGAAGGGTCCCAGGTTCGATTCTAGGTCAAGGGCACGTACCTTGGTTGCAGGCTTGATCCCTGGCCCTGGTCAGGGCGGGTGCAAGAGGCAACAAATCCATTTGTCTCTCTCACATCGATGTTTCTCTCTCTCTCTAACCCTCCCTTCCACTCTCTCTGAAAAAAATCAATGCAAAAAATATCCTCAGGTGAGGATAAACAACAACAAAAAGAATAGCCTCTGCCGCCCCCAAGCCCCAGGGCCGTCCAGTGGGCAAGTGAACCTGTGAGCCCAGCCTCGCCCTCCGCACGGGGTGCCCTACCCTCACATCCAGCCCACATGAGCCCATCACATCTTCACAACCACCTGCACGGAACCAAGACTGGTCACCCATTTCACAGATGAAGGAGCTACGAGCATGGGCCAGGATATAGAGAGAGAAAGAGACCTGACTCTCAGGGTAAGATGACCATGAAGCATTTCTGCTTATTGTTTTTTGATAATGGACTTTTTTATTGAAGTACAAATGTTAAAAAACAAACAAAAAGGCAAAGTTGGTAGAGACCTGGGAGCTCACCCAGGCCTGTAGTCCTGGCCCCAAGTAAGTGAATGTCCAAAGTGAAGGGGACTCCAGGTCTGCATTTTGCCCCCTCTTGGAGGAGGCAGCAGGAGTGGACCCCCAGAGCTGGAGAGGGGGGAACTGCGCACAATTTCCGGGTGTCTGCTGCTTCCAGAAACGTTCTACTTGGGAGCCATGTCCTAAGGTACAGTGCCAAGCTCTGTGGAGCCGTGGAGTAGAGAGATATGCCATCTCCTCTTACAGGGGTCCCCTCAGTCTTCAGTTTTCCCAGAGCCGCAGATTTGGGCTTGGGGCAGCTGACCCGCAGTGCAGGTTTCGGCTCAGACATGCTTTCCCTTCTGGGCAGGCCTTGGACTCACAGAGGTTCCCCTTGCTTTCCCTCCTTTAAGCCCAGTGTGGATTGCGACTGCTGGCTTTCAAACATGAGCCCTGAACTACTAATCTCAGCCAGGAGTGATTCTGAACCAACACCAAGTCCGGTCTCACACCCACCCTGCTTTCCAGCCTGACTCTCAGGAGAGGATGCAGGTGAGGCTGCTCACACCAGGCTGACGTGCTCGGCAGGTGGACAGCCCGGGGGTGGGGAGCGGGGACTGCAGGCCCCGAGTGCCACAGGCCTTAAAGCAGCGCCTAAAGGTCAAAGAGCGGAACCCTCAGCCTGGACCTGGGGGAGCCTGCATCTGTCTCAGGGTCTCTTCTCCACGACGACACATAGCCCCCTCAGGGCCGATGCTGCCTGACCCACACCATCTTGTCCACCTCCTCGGTGCTGCAGCCGCTCTGGGGAGGGCCCACCAGGAGCCTCCCGATCCTCACCCCGACCCCACACCTACCGGGGCCTGATGTGGAGGCTACCAGGGAGGCCTGTATGGACAGCCTCGGCCTCCGAGGGTGGAGTGAGCTATCGCCCGGGGCCACCACTGCCCAAGCTGCCCATGCCGGAGGCTGCAGCTGTGAGGCCAGGGAGCCCCTGGCTTTACTTTGTTCTCCTCAGAGTAGTTGACCCCTGTCTTCCCAGGTTCCCAGCTGTGTTCTGCCCCTGAATTCCACTTCTGCTGTCCACTCTGCCCCTCCTCCTGACTCCCCAGCAACAGTCCCATGAAAGGAAGCATTTGAGATCTTGCTTCCCTCATGTTGTCAGTTTGGCTCAAATAAACTCTTACAAAAATTAAAAAAGAAAAAAGAAAAAAAAAGAACAGTCCTATGAGCCCCACTCCATCCAAGAATCCCAGGTCAGGGGTCCTCAAATCTTCAGAGTCCCCCCCACGAACTGGTGCTCACCCCCTCAGACACAGGCCTGGTGTCCTCACCTTCCTCTCCCTGCACCGGTGGCTGAGGGCAGGCTGACCTGGGCCAGAGCCAGCCCCTGGCTCCATCCATGGCCCCAGGGACCCTGAGCTGATAACAAGCTGCCACTCACAGCTCCTCTCTCCGAGCTCTCCCCTCCCCCCTCCTTAGGGCCCCTCAGAGCTGTTTGGAAACACTAATCCCCCACTTAACCCTTAGGCCGCTTCCACTGCTCTTAAGACAGAAAAGCCCTAATGTGGCGAAGCAGATGGAGGAAAATACTGCAATGTCACTAGTGTACGGGGTTAAGAACTGGGTTTTGTTGGGGAAATTGAAACATCAAAGGTCAGTGAGCAGAGGCATGCTGTCCCCTGGGCGTCTGTGTGCGTGGGCCAGGCTGCCGGCTCGCCAGGGGGCTAAGGGCCAGCGCAGTGACCTGCCCCTGCTCCTGCCCCTTTCTAATGCAAGAGCAGCCAAACTCCGGCGCCAGGCAGTCTGGGTGTGGCTGCCAGCTGAGCAGAGAGGAGTCTGCAAACACCAGCTGCCGGCACCTGGATGCCTGCGCTTGGGAAGTCAGTTCAGCTGCAGCCCCCCTTGCTGGGATGAGGAGCCAGTTTGGTACCTGGGGGACCTGAGCTTTGGGCCCAATCACTGGGAGTCCTCACTGTGCTCTAGCCAGGCTGGCTTCCTCTCAGAACAGAGTCCACACTGTCCCGGTGTCACTAGCCTCCACTCACGCACTGCTGCGAAACCTTCCCCAGCCCTTCTCTGGGCCTCAGCTCAAATACCACCTCTACCAGGTGCAAGGAGGTTGTCCTGAAGACCTAGCTGTTCACACAGCCTCCTGACCATCCTCTGGAGCCTTCACCAAGGGTGTCATTGATAGTGACTGCCATCTGGTTGTGTCTGTCTCCCTCTCTGGGCCATAAACAGATCTACTTGTTTGACCTCTGTGACCTGTTGTTTCAGGGAAATAAAAATCTTCCTGGTCCTTGCTTCCCAGAGTGTGGTACTGGGACAGATGCATTCATGCCACCTGGGGCTTGTTAGAAATGCTCCAGACCCAGTCAAACGCTCAGGGGGACAGAGGATTTCGGGGCTGGTGTCAGGTGGTGGAAGCTGGCCTGAGGGGACACTGAGGCAGCCGGAGATTAGTAGCAGCAGGATGCATTGCCAGGCCACGATGAACAGAGGACAGCAGGGGGGCTGCTGGCACTCCAGGGGCTGGCCGTCTGACGGTACCAGAGGGCGGTGCTCGTGAGGGGAGCTGGAGCCTCGGCGGGACATGGCTGCTGGCAGAGGCGGCGTGGATTCCAACTCCTCTTCCCTCTGGTCTCCTGTCTTCCACAGGTGCCTCCCCGTGGCCACACGTGCCTGGAAGCCAGAGGCAGAGGGTCTTGAGAGATGTGACTCTTTGGGACAGGGCAGGGCAGAGAAGGGTGATGGAGCAGACACATGTCATCCCTCCACCCCACCCCCACCTGCCACTGTAGTCAGTAGGCAGTGTGGGTGCCCCTCCACCAGCCAGCAGGGCAGCCCTCCCAGTTCACCTGGGGGTGCTTTCGATCCTGATTTCCTCACCCCACGCGGGGGTTGCTCAAGGAGGGATGGCTGAGCCCTGGGTGGGCCATGGTGGCAGCTCTCTGACTGGCCAGTCTCTGTGTTTCCCCTGGGCCAGCCTGAGCCCTCCTTCTGCCCACCTGTCCTGGGAGTCAGCGGGAGATCACACTCACTCCTCCCCCACCGCTGCTCCCACCCACTGCCACAGCCACCAGCACCACGCCCACCCACCACCGTGGGTGCCCACTGTGACGCCAGGGAGGTCTGAGAGGGTGAGTGTGCCTTCATGGTGCCTGGGGCCTCCGCTCTTCACACCTCACTGGCATAGCTGGAGGTGAGAAAAGCTTTCCAGGCCACCCCCTCAAGGCAGTGCCGGTGGGAAATGAGCTGCCCAAGGTGCACCGAGGCCTGGCATCTGCACAGCTGAGTAGTGGGATGTTTCATTGCTGGGAGCCGGTGATGCGTCTGGTCATAGTCCACGCCACCTGAGGGTCTGGAGTGAGGGACTCGACCCTCCCCACAATGACCCTGGGTACGGAGAGCCCGCTGCGCGCTGGACATGGTCCACGTAGCCTGAGGGCCTGGGGCCAGGGCCAACCCTTCCCGCAGGTTCCTGTGGGAGCCGAAATGAAGATGGTTACAAAGGTCTGAGCTGGTGCAGGAGGCAGGGTGTTGAGGCTGAAAGTGTGTCTGTGCAGCCTGGGAAGAACTCCTCTGTATCACCCTTGCTTCCTTACCGGTTGTTTGTTACTCACTATAATAAAGGCGTTGGAGCCATTGGGGGCTGCACCTCATCGGAGGGCAGCCTCCGATCCCGTAACTGTTTGTCTCTTTCATTCCCAGCGCTCGACCTCAGGTCTGTTCGTCTGTCAGGCTGGTTCCTGACATTTCATGTTAGATCCAGCAGGAGTTTAGCTGCTCAGCAGTGGCCCTTAGCACACAGGGAACTCCACTTGCTGCTGGACAAGTCAGCCAGCGTCCTGAGCACTGTCCCCAGGCCCTGCTGACTTCACCCACAGGCTTTCTGAGCCCCAGAGTCCTGTCCTTGGT